TTAATATCCAGATTTCCAAAGTCCATAGTCTTCATGTAAATTATAAATTGATTAGCAAGATGTTGGATCAGGTGAAAATCGATCCCGCTACCTGTCCATTATTAGACACTAGCTGAGTGAGCGACTTCGTACACGTTGAATAGTTATTTTGAGTATCAATTTTTGTTTTTGCTAACCACCTGCTCTTGTTGTTGAATTACCTGTGTTGTTACATTACCTGTGTTGTTAAATTTAAGCGGTTACCCACGACGTCGTTGATTTTTCGCTGTATCTTCGCTCCTATTGGACACAGTAATATGTTTTATAGAGATGTTAACTCCGAATAAATAAGTCGAGCAATCGAGGAGTTAACATCTCCTGATGATGCCGTCCGCACGTGATGGCGAAACATCGAAAACGTCGGCCGGACAGCCCGAAAGCCAATGATATGCTGCACGAACAAACAAACTCTTCAGCTTTATATATTAGTATTTAAATTACATTACAGCAACAAGTCAAATTTCTTTAAACTTTATTTATGAGAGAATAAATAAAATCGTTTATACGTTGGAACGAAAGAATATTGTTCTTACATACAACGAATGTAAGCAAATATAAAAACGATTTATTGACATAATCGGAATACACTACAATTTAGGTTAGAGCAAATATTAAATCATTTTCTCGACCTACCTTAGTAAACACATCGGGTACACAATAGTTGTGTACATAACGAATATTTGAATGAAACAGTCTAACGACAATCGTTATTATGTGTATGTAGGGTACATTGTATTGAATCGAGACAAAGTGTGCGATAAGTACACATTTAAATAAAACACTTTAACGGTTTAAAACGCGATATATTAGTTAAACTAAAAGGCCCAACGTTTCGGATGCTTCGCAGCGGCCGTGGTCACGGGGAGACTCTAAAGAACATCGGGCCGAAGTTAAAAATCATTTTCAAATAAGTTTAACTAATATATCGCGTTTTAAACCGTTAAAGTGTTTTATTTAAATGTGTACTACTCGCGTAAACTATAGACAGTAAACTATAAAGTATATATTCGTAAATTTTAAGTCTACCGTGTTGCGCAGTTAGAGAGAGTACACTGTTATCTTTATTAATTTACTAGCTGTGCCAGCGACCTCGTCCGCGAGATTCGTTATTTTGGGCATCCAAATTAGTTTATGCAAACCCCGTCATCTTTATAAACTTAAGCTGTTAGCAACGACGTCGATCACATCCCTACGCGTCGTTCTTGCAAGTTAATCTTAAAAGATAGACATATAGCGTCGTGAACTTTTTTTTAGATCATTTAAAGAGAAATTATTCTTTCATACACATCTTTTTTGTATCTTGCACCGCTTTCGCAGCGTACCCATCTGAAACCCACAGAGATGAAAAATTTCCCCCGTTTTGCTCTGTATCTTCGCTTTTATTAGTCAAAGCGATGTTTTATATCCTATAGTATTTCTCGATAAATGCTCTAACCAACACAAAACAAATTTTTCAATTCGAACCCGTACTTCCTGAAATTAGCACGCTCAAACAAACAAAAACACTTTTCAGCTATATTAGTATAGATTGAATTTTAGTAGATGGAAATTAATTTTAGAGAGAGATAGAGATAAATTAATTTTAGATTTTAGAATTGTAGAGTTATACACTTTACACGCGATAAAGTAAACTTTTCAAACGTAAAATTTTGTAATTGCATTTTCACTGGATTTCTTAAATTGCAAAGCAAGGCAATGAACCTCAATACATATTATGTAAAGATGAGATTACAGCAGCACGGAATAATGTGGATGCCGGTTCGAGTCCCACCCATTTTATAAGTTGTTACTTACAAGCTCAATGTTCAAATACGCCTTGAATGTCTAAGTCAAAACTATTTTATTTCACGTATTAAACCGGTAAAATTTGTTTGTCTGTAGTTGTGTCAAACGAGTCGAACACATTTATTTAAAACACTTTTTAACTTATTTACAACTAGCGGCCCTGTCCCGGCTTCGCACGGGTAGACATAAATAAGTAGAGATATTAAAATTATAAGCCTGCTAGTTAAAACGACCATGATAACTGTGGACGCCGGTTCAATTCCTGCCCGAGTCATAATTTTTTTCAACTTATAATCGATTTTGTATTTAATTTATAATCAGTATTTTCTCTATTGCCCGATGTTTTGGATCCGTTCCAGCAGCCGCGGTTAAGGCTGGCTGCTAACTAATCTATACCGCCTTTTAAACCGTTAAAAATGTTTTATATAAAAATGTGTTGTGTTTAATATTATGCCTATTATTTTTAATTACGACCCAATCTCTTGATAGCCGATAGAGATCAACGCAATTATGTTAGTGCCCAGTGCATTTCCACGTAACTGTATAGTGCACACTGGTTTTGGCAACTCCATGCGCAGTGCATTAGATTAATTAATTTGATAAGGCATTTCGATGTATGGGGCATATGCACTAAATATAGTATACCAATATTGGTCCAAGGTTCGACTACAGTGGAAAATCGGTTTGGCACGGCAGGTATCACCAATGACTTGCCTATAAATGGAACAGTGAAAGAGATACAGAAATGTGTCCGGACAATTGCCCACACACTCTACTCATATGTTATGGTGAATATATGTTACTAGCTATGCCCGCGACTTCTTCCGCGTGGAATTTTTGGTATTATTTATTTTCGCCTCCTCTTCAGCTTTATAAATTATACCCTACGTCATCCGTCACGTCGTTCTTGCGAGGTAATTTTTATACATATATATTTATATATCGCCGCCTTTTTTTTTAGATAATTTCAAGAAGATCCATTCTTTTATTAAATTTCCTTCATGAAAATAATAATTTAAATAAAACACTATAAAATATAAACATGTGTACAACAAAAATATGTACATCGTGAATGCTAGTTTCCCAAAAATCACGGTTAAAGCGAGACGGGTGTATCGGGTCACACGTTAGAAAGGGAAGATCATTTACACATCAGATGCCTTTGCAAGATCCTTTAACTTGAAACTTGTCCACTTAGTTAATTGCATATCTATATAGAGTTGTTTGTCTCTATTTATTACATTCCTATCTTTATAAAAATAGACTCTTGGGAAAGTGGAAATATGCTTCCTCGATAAATGCTTTAACCAACACAAAAAGAAGAACCATTTTACAATTCAAACCAGTAGTTCTTAAAATTAGCTCTAGCTTTTAATATATAATTATTAATAAGTAAAGATATCAGTTTCAAATTAATCTTTACTAATATATATAGCTGAAGAGTTTGTTTTTTTTTCTTTTTGTTTGAACGCGCTAATCTATTGGTTTGAATTGACATTTTTTTGTAATGGTTAGAACATTTATCGAGGAAGGCTATAGGCTAAAACATCGCGCTGTTCATAATAGAAGCGAAGAAGCAACGGGAAATATGGAAAAAAAATAGGGGAAAATTTTTCATACGCTGCGAAAACGGTTCCAGATACCAAAAAATATGTATGAAAGAATGACTCTTTAAATGATCTAAAAAAATGTTCGCAACAATATATATCTATGTTTTAAGATTAATTTGCAAGGTCGACGGGACGCGGACGACGTCGTGGGTCGCGTGCTAATTTATCATAACTTTTTTCTGTACTCCTGTGAAAGTAGCAGCTCTGTATAATTCCTATTAAAGTAATCTTGTTCCTTTTAACCTTCGGACGCTCATACAATATTCAAAACTAGCCAGTACCTAATAACGAAGCAGTTCACACATAGTCAAAAGATATTTTTCAATATTTTTAAGTTAGCATGAAAAGCTGATGAGGTAAGAATATTAATTGAATATCATTTTATATAAAACACTTTAACGGTTTAAAACGCCATATAAATTAGTTAAACTTATTTGAAAATTACTTTAATTACAGCCCGACGTTTCGGATGCTTTGCAGTAACCTTGGTCACGGGGAGACAAATTAAATTATTTTTAAATAACTTTAAGTTTAAGTTCGTTGGTTTTTAAATAAAAACATTTAAAAATGTTATATTTTTTGTTGAAGAAACATTTGAATTTAAATTATAAATTTATATCATTTACGAATAAACCAAATGAGTTAATCTTGGGCAAAAGCGGCCCTCAGGAACCGTCGATCGGCTGAACCGTTAATTTGCAGTCTTGCGTTAAATGGCGGGCTCCAATCAGTTTCGGTAACGGCACTTCGCATTTACTCGACCGAATTCACCAGTGATTTGTTAATGCCGAATGCCCATATATAACCACTCCGATAGGAAAACTAGCTGTGTCAGCGACTTTATTGCTGCAAAGTATCCGAAACGTGGAGGCATAGTTAAAATAATTTTCAAATTTTAGTTTACGCGAGTAGTATACATTTATATAAAACACTTTAACGGTTTAAAACGCGATTTAGATTAGTTAAACTTATTTGGAAATTATTTTAACTATGGCCCGACGTTTCGAATAAGTTTAATTAATATATATCGCGTTTTAAACCGTTAGTGATATTTAAAAATCTAAAATAAATTGAAAAAAAAATCGCATCGGGCAGGACTTGAACCGGCATCGTCAGCGTTCCGTGCTGTTACTCTACCAATTGAGCTACCGAGTCAACCGTTACCGTTAGTGTTTTATTTAAATTAAGATATTATATTACCACGAAATAATTAAAATGATTACTTTTTAACTAGTTTAGCCTAGTGAGTTCAATGAATGGAGATATTTATTTAACATACAATATATGAAAAAACATAGAATATCCACAACTAGAAATAGTATATAATTCCAAATAAAGCTAGCTTCAAATGTATTTAATATAACCTTATTACGAACACAAACCTCAACAAAATATATAAAAATCGATAACATATTGGCTGGCAACTAACGAATGTTTTCAAATTTCAAATTACAGAGAACACGATACGAAAAGTTGTTCACATGTTTCTGTCTGTCTAGTTGGTTGAGAAGTCGAAGTTGGTCTTATTTTTTCAAGGAGAGATTATTTAAGTCATATTAAAGTAAGATGAGGGAAATCGTACATATACAGGCTGGACAGTGCGGCAATCAGATCGGTGCAAAGGTACATTCACTATTATAATACACACGGATATCCAATGCCAATGGTCGACATCTTGTTAAGATATATGGCTGGGGTTTTTTTTACATATCATCAACTGAACCTCAGCTGTCAGCTTTCTGTCCTCCGCTATTTAAAAAAAATTGGGAATCCTGGTGTCTTTTATCCAAACGACAGACAAGCAAGGGGCTTCAATGGATGAACGATTGCACAATCACTAGGGCATCTAAGTTGTGCTGTCGACTTTTTCAATTGTTCAGTCGAACGCCCAATTGGTGGGACGCCATTGGGCGTTGGATGTACCAACTGTACTACCAATGTACCAAAGGTACCATATTTGTAATTGAGCAATTTTTTTTGACAAATATGGGTTGATCTTACCACGAGGAATATACTTCATAAATACGTGTTGCCTTGCAGTAACATAAATCGCATGTTTGCAGTTCTGGGAGGTGATATCAGACGAGCATGGCATTGATCCAACTGGCACATACCACGGCGATTCCGACCTTCAGTTGGAGCGTATTAATGTGTACTATAACGAGGCGACCGGGGGGAAGTATGTGCCTCGAGCGATTCTGGTGGATCTCGAACCGGGCACAATGGACTCTGTCCGGTCAGGGCCCTTCGGACAGATCTTTCGCCCAGATAACTTTGTGTTCGGCCAGTCTGGCGCAGGCAACAATTGGGCGAAAGGACACTACACGGAAGGGGCAGAACTGGTAGACTCTGTTTTAGATGTTGTAAGGAAAGAAGCTGAGGGCTGCGATTGTTTACAAGGTTTTCAGTTGACACACTCGCTTGGTGGCGGGACGGGCGCTGGCTTGGGGACCTTACTCATTTCGAAGATCCGTGAAGAATACCCAGATCGTATAATGAACACATTTAGCGTTGTACCTTCCCCGAAAGTATCAGACACGGTAGTCGAACCATACAATGCGACGCTATCTGTACACCAGCTGGTAGAGAACACTGACGAATCTTATTGCATCGATAACGAAGCCCTTTATGACATATGCTTCCGGACTCTTAAGCTGACGACACCAACCTACGGCGACTTAAACCATTTGGTGTCTGCGACAATGTCTGGAGTCACAACATGTCTGAGGTTCCCGGGTCAACTGAATGCTGATTTGAGGAAACTGGCCGTTAACATGGTGCCGTTCCCTCGTCTTCACTTCTTCATACCTGGGTTTGCTCCACTGACATCCAGAGGTAGTCAGCAATATAGAGCGTTGACAGTGCCCGAATTGACGCAGCAAATGTTTGACGCGAAAAACATGATGGCCGCGTGTGATCCGCGTCACGGGAGGTACCTGACTGTTGCTGCGGTATTCAGGGGGCGAATGTCTATGAAGGAAGTCGACGAGCAAATGATGAATATCCAGAACAAGAATTCTTCCTACTTCGTCGAGTGGATTCCGAATAATGTAAAAACAGCTGTTTGCGATATCCCGCCGCGTGGTTTGAAAATGTCTGCTACTTTTATTGGCAATTCCACTGCTATTCAGGAGTTGTTCAAGCGTATTTCTGAGCAGTTCACTGCTATGTTTAGGCGTAAGGCTTTCCTCCACTGGTACACTGGTGAGGGTATGGACGAAATGGAGTTTACCGAGGCCGAGAGCAACATGAATGACTTGGTTTCTGAATACCAGCAGTACCAGGATGCTACGGCTGAGGAAGAGGGTGAATTCGACGAAGAGGAGGAAGGCGGAGACGAGGGAGACTAGACTGTTTTAAGATTGTTATAATTATTTCATTTTATTTTATTACAGTATTACATTAAATTTGTATTTTATTGTAACCTAAAATAAGAAAATTGTTTAAATAAAACACTTTAACGGTTTAAAACGCGATATATTCGGTAAACTTATTTGAAGATGATTTTTGACTTCGGCCCGACGTTTCGGATGCTTTGCAGCAGCCGTGTTCAAAGCCTATAATATTCTCGAATCCTTGCATTACTTTAGTATTCGAAAATTGAGGTGCGTTGAGCCTAAACTCTTTAGGGGATTCCCTCTGGGATCTTTTCTTGCTCGTCTGCATTGTGTACGATATTTGAATCAAGGGTTGTATCTTTGTAAAGTAGAAAACAAAGTAAATTAATGATTGGGTCACGAGAGCAGTACCCGATAGGGCCCGAAACTCTTATATTTCGCGTTTTAAACCCTTATCATCTATACTAATATTATAAAGAGGAAAGAATTGTATTTTTGTATGTAACGGATAAACTCAAAAAATGGGCCTATTTTAATAATTCTTTTTTCATTAGAAAGCTACATTATCACTGAGTAACATAGTATTTAGTACTCGATTACTATAGACATCTATAGAAATTCTTAACAAATTGATAGAAATGCCGATCAAAATCAGACCGTGCTATCCATACCAGTTATAAATTTTTATCCAAATAAATAATTTAATAATATTCAAGACTGTCTCAATACCTGATGATTACTTTTTTAATTATTGAAATCGGACATTCCATTCAAAAGATATCATGAAGTTAAAATAAAAATACATGCCGGCGGCCGCCACGACGCGCATCGAGTAACTAACTCGACGAAAGGGGGCTCCTCACGCAGTGGACACGACCGACATTGAATATTTCGAGTTTTTTTTAAACAGTTTTATGCTTCACTTAAAAATTTCTTTTCAGAGCTACTTAGTTTTAGTTTTAGGACACTTAGCATAATTTTTGTCAAATTTATGTTCAGAACTATCGCTTTGAACTTGAATATTTTCTTTCGTATTATTAATAGTTTATTCTTAATTTCTCTGATTTAAAGTAAATACCTAAGAATAGTTTCCAAGTGAGATTAGCAAAAGTTCGTCGTATTGGGGAGTCTTTTCCTGAAAATGATCGCCTGGAAAGTATTAGAGTGTACGCGTCAAAATCGCGAGCCAGAGAATCTAGCATCGAACATTCAGTTCGTCTTGCAGAACGAAATGCAAGATCGACTTGAATGAAATACAGCTAGAAATTCGGGAAACGCGTGCACTACGGGACTCTAAGACTGAACGCTGGCAGCGGCTCCTGACCCAGCGAGCTAGACAACGATCGCTAACAAGAAGCTAGGACGCGCAATACATTTTTTTCTAATTTAGTGACTCATGGTCGTTTTAATTAGCATGCTTTTAATTTAAATATCTGTACCTATTTATGTCTACCCGTGCGAAGCCGGGACGTGCCGCTTGTTGAATATATATTGAGTATTTGTGAAGCTTAATCATCGACGAAGCACGCACAGCGGCGTCAAAAGCATGGGCTATTACGAAGGTAGTCACAAAATCGCGCGAATGGTCGCCCCATCTTTTCGTGGCCAGGATAGTAGCAGAATGAAAGCTCGTTCTAGCATCCCTTTTAAATTCAAGACCTTATTTACTGTGAAAGAAGGAAAATTCTCAGAATGACATTCACAGCATTAGGTACGCCTGACTGAAACCGATTTTAAATTGCCTTGAACCTACAAACCGTGCAAGGTGAGTCGATGAGATGGGTCCGTCGATAGTTTCATTTAAATCGGAATGTTCTCGAGAGTACAACTTATTCTGACTTAACAATACATAAAAGTATTATCTGTGTCTATAGGAACTTTGTCTTGACAACGTGAACTATTTTGATATATTTTTGTATATTAGACATAGACATGTATTAGACAACCTTAAAACCTTGAAAAATACATTTCTGAAAAAAAAACAAATCTTAAATACCTTTTAAAACTTTTTTTTATTTTCATTGCATATAATGGCATTATATACATGAAAATCTATATTAGACAGAAAAAAAAAACGATATTAGGTAGATAACGACACAGTAGCTCAATTGCTTAGAAAGATGCCTGCTCAAGTCCCTCCCTTGACATTTATTTTTTGTCTTTCAAACACCGCGAGCGCCTTTATAATTATATATTCAATGATCAAGTTGAATCCAGTTTACCCCTGTGGGGCAAGGGGCGAACAAATTTCAGTGTACGTGTTAATTTTTATTTACAAATAATACATCAGACTTATGTGCCCTACCAGACAAAAATAATTAATCGTTATCGAATCCAAGACTCTCGTGCTAACGGGACCTCGTGTTACCACTGAGCTACGGGTACACGGCTATCGGTATGAACAATGATTGAAATTGTTCTCTCATTAGTGTCATATGATAGATCTATTCAAGTCTGCACGCAACCCTAATCAGTCAAACCAATATCCTACGTATGTTTGAGGATTGACGCAACAGACTATAAAATCAACAGTAGTCAAATTAATCTATACTAATATATAAAGCTGAAGAGTTTGTCTGTTTGCACACGCTAATCTCAGGAACTATGGGTTCGAGTTGAAAAATTATTTTGTGTTGGTTAGAACATTTGTCGAGGAAGGCTATAAAACATCGCCCTGTGACTAACACAAGCGAAGATACAGCGGGAAATGCCAAAAAAATTTTGGATAAATTATTCATCATTATGGCATTTCGTGGTGTGAGCTGCAAGAACCGTTCAAGATACCCAAAACATATGTATGAAAGAATGGTTTGCTCTATAAATAATCTAAAAAAAAAAGGGACGCGACGTACGTCGTGCGTGACAGCTTAAGTTTATAAAGACGAATGGGCTTGCAAAAACGATTTTGAATGCCCAAAATAGTGATTCCCGCAGACGAAGTCGCTGACACAGCTATAAAACACCTGAAAACTTGCGAGTGATCTATGCACTACTGTTATTTTACATTTTTGTATTTGTGACTTTGATTTTACAACTGCTAATGTAATATATTTTCATATTTCTTAGTTTATTCGCAATAATTAAAATATATAATTAAAAATAGAGAGTAATATCAACGATATAAAATCAAATAAATATCTTTGAGTCGTCTTCAAAATTGTCTTGCGCAACTGTCCTTTTATGTTCTGTGGTTTAGGCTTGACTGTGACATAATCGTGACCCAGCAGGTGCAGTCGGACGTGGTAATTCTATAATCCCGTATAACAGCTTCTGGCTTAGCCTATACACTGACTGTTGATGAGATTTCGATTTAGCCGTAAATATAAAGATGAACCAGATAAGACCAAAAATCAATAAATAAAGTTGTAGCAACTGTAATCCGATAAATAGATGGATAATAGAAATAGATATTTCGAATTACATGTATACATTCATAAAAATTGAATACGGATATTAAATGAGTACCAGGTCATGAACAAGAGACTAAAAATGAAAAAGCCGTGGAGAGCAAATACGCGTTGTGATGTCAGTCTGTGGATTTTCTAATTTCAAAACTAAAGCTGAGTGGTGTCTCTCCACACCCATCTGATACTAGCTATGTCAGCGACATCGTCCTTAATAATCCTTATCATCTTTATAAATTAAAGCTGTTACCCGCAATGTCGGATGCGTCCCGTTGTTCGTGCAAGTTAATCTTACATAGAATCATTCTTACATACATCTTTTTTGGGTACCTTGAATCGTTTTCGCAGCGTACGAATCGGAAACCTACAAAGGTGAATAATTTTTCCCGTATTTTCCGCTGTTTCTTCGCCTTCCTCGACAAATGTACATAAAATAATTTTTCAATTCGAACAAGTAGTTCCAGAGATTAGCGCGTTCAAACATACAAAGAAACATACACTTCACCTTTATATATTAAGTATAGAAATATTATATTAAGCTATATTGAAGTTATGTTTCTGTTAATATATTGTAGTTAGCGAAATCTATGACTCACCTTGAAGTAAAATATGAAATGTCGGCCACTGATACGAGACCCATGTTGGGCTGCCAACAGCAACGTCACTGCTCATACACGCCTGAATTAACAAGCTTATTTCGTCCGTAACTTGCGCGAATAGTACACGTTAAATTAACATTGAACGGTTCAAAACTTTTGTAACAATTTATATATTTTTTAATATTGATATAAATAGGTGGTAGAAATTAAAACATGTCCGGGTCACAAACCAATATTTACAGATTAAAAAACCGTATATTTTCATCGCTTTTCGGTTTTGATTGGGATTTCCGAATATCTTAAGCCAAAATAACTCGACAGCACATCTTTTTTGGATGTTGTATGGCTGGGGTCCACCTTCCATCAAGTAAACCACATTTCTGTCCTCATCTATCAAAGAAAATATTATAGTTCCTTATAGTCGTTACCACCCAGTACTGCAGTTGGTATAAGGTATTTTATACATTCCACGTTTTAAACAGATTTTTTATTTTGATAAGGCTTATTCAAACATCAAAATATTTAATTTTTGTTATTGTTTAAATAAATCTTTTCAGCATACTACTGAATCGCAACGTCGATGCGTAAGACTAGCCGCGTGAGCCGAATGTCAGACATAAGGATCGGGAGTTCAATTCCCACCCAAAAAACAGATTCTTGCAAACGTGAAATGCTGACAACCACGCCAGAGAAGAAGCAGTCGTCGATCGATAAAATAACTAATACTCTCAGTTACGTTATAAAATTAAACATTGAAAAAACAAATAAGTTTAACTAATATATATCGCGTTTTAAACCGTTAAAGTGTTTTATTTAAATGTGTACTACACGCGAATAAACTACAGACAGTATTTAATAAAAAACAATTTAATCAATATCCAGCAACTATAAATACATTTTCCGATGCACGAGAATAAGCGGGAAATTCGACAGTGGTGCTTTAAACAAATTAGATTACACAATTTTCCGATGCGAGTCGCAGACAGAAATAGTCTTATCAAAATAGCTAGACTCGTTATCGACCGGGCAGAGAATATTCTAGGTAACAAATGTTGGACCTTCGTCCGCGTAGAATACTTAGTTTGGGCATCAAAATTTGTTTTTGCAAACCTACCCACGACGTCGGTCCTTCTTACAAGTAAATTTTAAGTGATAGACATAGCGTCGCGGACATTTTGTTAGATCCCTTGTTGTGTTTCGTGTTTTCGTTTAGAGGAATCATTATTTCATACATATTTTTTGGGTGTCTTTCTCCATTTTTCATGTCACAGCTGCTATAACCTTCCTCGATAAATTCTCTAACCAACACAAAAATATTTTTTTCAATTCCAACCAATAGTTTCCGAGATTAGCGCGTTCAAACAAACAAACAAACAAACTCTTCAGCTAAAGATATTGGTATGATTAGATGATGGGTGAATAATATAATAAGGATTTTACAAAAAGTAATGATTTCTGATAGATTATGTTACTGTGATTATGATTGGTGATGATAGCGTAGCACAAAATCCATTTACACAGTTCAAAATAAAACAGTATACCATAACATCGGCCGTAGTTGAAGTAATTTAAAAATTTAACTAATACATTTTGTTTTAAACCGTTAACAGTTTATTTCAATGTGTACTGCTCGCATAAGTTAGACAGAATACTTAGCGATGAGTGTTATTCAAATTTAATAGCTTATTTCTGTTTTAGTCTGTGGATTTCCGAATATCCAAAGAAAAATTAGGTGTCGTACCTATTTTGGCTTTGGTTATTGCTTAAATCCTATAGGCGGGGGGGCACATACCATCAAGGGAACCCCATACGTGAATTCCTCTATTATAAAAAAAAATCTAGAATCGCAACAAGAAACAAATGACGCCTATTTCTTTAAGAAATAATCCTCATTTTCTTATTAAGCTCACGTATCGACAGAAATGTTACTTATTCAAGGGAACCTTAATTATCTCCAGGTCTAATCGCTAGTCTGACCTCGTTTGCCCCAATGTCCTTGAAAAACTGAATATTGGTTGTAACGATCCCTTTCCACCTATTGTATGTGTCTCCTCTTACATAATATAGACTTAGAACACACCAAGCTGCTCCAATGTGGGTGAACGGGCTTCAACAACTAACGTCAATAAGTGATGATAACTTCTAGTACTTGGCATTCCATTAGTTATGTTGTATTATGGCTTTTAAATGACTCGACCAGTCGCCGGCATTAGCCGCTTGGCGTCCGAAGTCGCCCATACGCGGTGATTCGCCAAGTTGTCTGCGCGACTGACGACCATGTTCCTAAACGCCCATTCAAACCATAGTAAGTTACAGTCGCCAGAGACCAGTCGACAGTGAGCTTAAATTACATTGTGCAAGAATTTTATATACACAAATCCAGTAATAACATGTAAAATATGAAACTGTAGATTTATGTTCAAGTTCGGCTATGATCATCGCTATTTCAAACCCAGTTAGATATTTAATGTACGTAAAAGCACCATGTACATTCAAATTTGAAAATAACTAAGTTTAAATATCTCAGCGGCAATTTTCCTCAAATGATAGTATGCTATTAACCAAACAATATTACCTCTTCTTCCAATCTGTTGAAGTCGCTTTTAACGGTTTAAAACGTGATATATTAGTTAACTTATGATTAATTTAGCAGACGTGCTCACGGTGGGACTGACGAAGGCAGGTGTACTGAATGTCAAAAATAAGCTACACTAGCGCCTCCGCGTCAAACCAACCAAACAGACAATATTTATGACGTCATCCACCCCTGATGACGTAACGTCCAAAATCATTTCTCACTCAACACTCAATGTCGAAAACCCAACTTTGTATATAATTTGATTAATGATTATTTCTTTTAGGATTTTGTCTTTTCTTTAGTCTTTTGTCGCCCAATATATAATATCTTACTGATGGTCTGTTTCTTGTTGTTCCAGGGCCTGGTATAAAAGGGACGATGGCTATACTGAACTGTCTCCTAGCTCGCCAACTGTGCTTTGAAGATGCATCTTGCTCCGCCATCCTGGAAATAATACCGCGTGTTTGTGGATCTGAACTTGGTAAGTTATGACTTCTGAATCTACTTGGGTTTTAGGGCTTAAGTTGCTCCACAACCGTGAAGCCATATGCTATTTATATCTTACTTCCGGTCGTTGTTCGTTTACCGACTTCAAAAAAAGAGGTGCATTCAACCATGTATACTAAAATGCTTTGTTGTGTAACAAAAAAAGCCAAATGCTTGGTGCATTTTTTTTTGCTTTAAATAAATCACTTATAACTTATAACGACATATATATAGTTAACTTATTTTTAATTAATTTTATCTAGGGCCCGACGTTTCGGATGCTTTGCAGTTGCCATGGCTACGTTGAAATAGATTTAAATGTGTACTAATCGCGTAAACTATACACATTACGTAAAATACTTTAGCTTTATATGTAATTGAGGTAGAAGACATACCTAGTAGCTCAATTAGTAAGACGCACTCTTTAGTCCTGTCAAAAGAGCATTTTATATAGTTATATACTATCTGTAATTTACGCGATTAGTACACATTTAAATAAAACACTTTAACAGTTTAAAACGCGGAATATTAGTTAACTAATTTTTTTGGGCTGAAGTTAAATCACTATTACATTAATTAACTCATTTAAAAATGATTTAACTTCAGCCCGACGTTTCGGATACTTTGCAGCAGTCGTGGTCACGGGGCGACAAACATTTTCAAAAAAGTTCAGCTAATATATCGCGTTTTAAACCGTTAAAGTGTTTTACTTTAATGTCATATTAGGCAACATAATACGACTTATATTTGTACCGTGCCGTGGTCACGGCTGCTGCAAAGCATTTTATTAAATCAATCAAATTATTACTATGTTCAATATTCAAGTGCTTTTGTAGCCACGGATAATAATTCTCTATCCAAACGCTAAGCTTAAAGAAAATATGAAAGATCGTAGCTTTAGCATATTGTAAGGTATCCTGTTTGTCAACAAGCGACGGTCTTTGTTGAGCCAAAACTATTATGCATGAGCCCACACTGAGGATACGACCACGAAACTCTTACGACATACCTACGACCGCAATTACACCGTTACAATTTAACTATGAACGCGTAAAAGAAAAAAATAGTTCTTTCTTTACCACCACTATAGTTCAATTGTTCAACGTGTTACCATTGCATTTATCATGAAGGCTCCTAGTGTTAAGTGTTTCTTACACTTAACACACTTATTCACCTGGAGTCGAGGGTAGGGCACAGTAGTCTGGTACGAACGCAAATATGTGGCCGCGTTAACCGCATGTCGTGGAAATAATATGTGTAAAAACGAAAATCCATGAAATTTTGAAATTACATTTAGAAGCATAAAACTAAATACTGTCTCTCGTTTACGCGAGTAGTACACATTTAAATAAAACACAATGATTTTTTCACTTCGGCCCGACGTTTCCCCGCGACCACGGCTGCTGCAAAGCATCCGAAACGTCGGGCCGAAGTTGAAAATCATTTTCAAATAAGTTTAACTAATATCGCGTTTTAAACCGTTTAAGTGTTTTATTTAAAAGCATTAAACTATTAATCAATGTTGATACAATAAATTTTTAAACAGCACGTGACTTTGATACCCATCCAAAATCTTTCTAAAACAAAATTGAGATATAAATAAATCAATTTCAACTGTTAAAAACGCGAAATATAATAGTTAACACCGACAGCGCGTCTCATTTAAATTTTATATAGCTCAGGTATATCACCTTTCATCTAGAGAATCCCATGCTTGTTGGTCCTTTAAAATTACACTACGGTGTTATTGCGGCCTTCGAAAGATTCAACCCTCTTTAAAAGATATAGTGTAACACTGAGTGCGAACATATAAAATATGCAAGCCTGACGAATGCACTGCTCGCAACAGGAATCTTTTCATATTTTTTACATTTTCCATCATAAACGCGTTTACCGCGTAACATGTTAGTTTTGAAAGTCCTTTTCTAAAGAACTTCTTCTTACTCTTCTATAAATAGAGCTACGAGTTGAAATACATATTAAGAAAACAGTCTAAATGGCACATACATATAGTGAAGTCTCTAAACCCTCTGAAGCATTGAATAGATTTATAACCTTTTCCGCAGGATTCGAACTTGGGTACTTTTGTGCTTAAGATAACGCTAGTTTAAGCTATAGAAAAAAGTAGTTCTTGAAATGTTCAATTTATTTATATGTAAAAGTTTTTTAAACTTTCTCATCACTTTTCACCGAGATTTGAACCGGTAATCTAATAAAGATGGTAATGAGTAAAGTAGACAAAAACACCATAGGCATAAAATAATTGCTTAGCATCGATTTCTTTTCTTACATAAGTGGGTATACCCACCACACGGCACCATTCCAGATTGGTGGACTAGGAACTACTACTGTCATTAGTCAAATTTAGCGTACCCACTGAGGTCAATATCACTTCCCACCCCCTACTATAAATAGTACCAGCCCAGGGGGGTCAACCAGCGACCTAGTGCTTTCCAGCTGAGTGTACCAACCGATGCAGTTAAAACAAACTAGAATCAATAATTTTTGAATCCGGGTGACTAAGCCATCTGACCTCCTTACTGTCTATTGTTAGACCTGGTTCCTTGACCGCTTAAACCTTATTACAACGCAGTAAAGTCGAAAAAAAATCAAAGCCTACCCTCTTTTGTGAAACCTCTTTTGTTATACTCTGTATTAATATTTTCACACCTGCATTGTTCTACGGAATATAGGGGAAATTTGTATGAAAGCTGATTCGGAATGTTTCTATCCGCATAAAAGGTAGATATACTCTTTGCAAATGATTATTTGACTAATGGAGCCATTGTAGTGAAGCGATTATTGTCGTGGGAGTCCTGGTGTGTGTGTGATTTTATATCAAGGTTTTTGAAAACTGGTACGAACGCCCTGGCTAGTTGCATTGAGCCTGGGGAAACGAGATATTCGAGCAAGACACAGAAGTCTCTAGATGATCAGACTTCTGTGTCTTGCTCCAGTATAATCCAATATTTCCGATTATCCAAAGCCAAAATAAGTCCACAGCGCATCTTGAGTAGATGTTATATGGTCAGGGTATTTCCCCTCTCCCCCCCCCCAATTAAGTGAAACATACTTGTCTGGCCTCCTCTACTATTAAAATAATAATAATAATAAACTGATATAACTATCCAGATCGCTATGGGCGAAAATCATCAGAAATGGGTTGGCCTATGCTCAATTTGTCAAACGAAATTTCTTGGTAGGTATTTAGGTGGAGCGCACATAAGTTTGATCCACTACTTGCCCGTAAATAGAACCGATCAGTAGAACGGATACAGAAGTGTGTCCGCCCAATACCCTACAGGGGGAAACAGGACACACAATAAGTTTTTCTTTGTTATTGGACTAAGAATTTCCCTATTTAAAACACTTTCACGGTTTAAAACGCGATATATTAGTCAAACTAATTTGAAAACGATTTTTAACTTCGGCCCGACGTTTCGGATGCTTTGCAGCAGCCGTGGTCACCCAGCAGGTAAACCCGTGTTTAAATGTGTACTACTCGCGTAAACTATAGACAGTATTTAATTTTCTTATTGTCCAAAATCATCTGGATAACATCGTCATTAGAACACTTTTAAACTGTTTAAATTTGTATATATTAGTCCTTATTTCTTTGCCGTGACCTAGACTGCTGTAAAGCAACAAAACAGGCTTCTACGCTGATGGGGTTCCTTGTTTCGGGTGCCCCTCACCCAGATGAGCAACCAATCAACTCTTCAAATTTCCACCCGCATTGTGGTGCTTCAAGTCGAGGCATATGTCACCTGGAGTAATCATTGGTCTATCCGCAAACACGTTTTAGAGGTCCTGGGCAGATAAGTGCTTAATCCATGAAAAATAAAGATTTCGGCCAAAAACCGACACAGATTCATAAATCTAAAATGAAGCTCTTTTGATACAACTTGGCCATAACCTAGATATAAATTGCAGATACTATATTACCTCAGTGCTTGGTCTCAAGTGGATCCCCTGAGGTTAAGAGCCCACTTGGACAATATCATTTGTATTACAGCGTTTTAGCGATAGATTTTTTCTTCGCGAGCCTTAGAAACAGATGTTTCGCAGTTCCGAGGTGATTTATCAAAGGGTCTGCTCTCGGCTCTGTCTGTCTGTATCCTTAAAGTTAATTTATTTGTGTTATTCGTCACAATTAGTTCCAAGATTGATTGCTTCAGCAAACTTAAAATTAAGCGTATAAAGATTGTTTAATATATACCGTATTAGGCGACGGATTCATTCTAAACTAAACACTTTTGACGGTTTTAAACGTGTATATTACGTCAATGCAACCTATTTTCGACGATTGTGCTTTACAGCAGTAAGATAGTTGATAACTAAACGAAACTATAACTATTTATATAACTAAACTATATAAAGAACATAAATAACAACGTTTAGTCAAAGCAGCTGTTTACAATAAAAATTAAGAGGACCTTATCGCCCATAGCGATTTCTTTCAGGCAACCTTTGTATACAGAAAAAAATAAAGAGGAAAAGTTGACAAAAACGCAATAAATTCGACATGTCAACATTAATAGGTCGGCTGTACAACAGTTAAAAGTATAATATTGGGATACGCGTTTGTGAATACATACTTGAAAATTAATTTTAAATATATGTAACGTCTCATTATATGTTAAAGGATTTGTAAAGGCCGAAAAAATATATCCACTGAATTATGGAAATCTCCATCAAAGGAGACTCTTGCTCATTATAATCTGTTTCTACAATTAAGAATAAAGAAAATCTCCCGAGGAAAACATTAATTAAAGGAAAACGGGCACTTTTGCCCCGATTTTCGCTTCTTATTTAACAATAATGCTCGGATTTTTCTTTTTAATACAACTTCGATCTTTACCTTTGCTTGTACTTTATCTTAAAGATGTAGAACAAGTTTTGTTCATATTATTTTTGTCTATACTAACATATAATGCTGAAGAGTTTGTTTGTTTGAACGTGCTAATCTCAGAAACTGCTGGTTCAAATTAAAAA